CTGGAGGATGGTTGTTCTTCAGCCTTTGGATGAATATAATTTAGGCGATGAGGTAAGCTGCCTTTCATGCAATGAGATAATTATACATTATGTATTATGAAGCCTGCTTACTTTTGACATTCAGGGAACTAAAGGAATATATACTTACACTGATTTTTGTTTTGTTTTCACTTATGAAAGGAAAGTTCTTTTAAAAGAATATTTGGCCGGGCGCGGTGGCTCACGCCTGTAATCCCAGCACTTTGAGAGGCCGAGGCGGGTGGATCACGAGGTCAACAGATCGAGACCATCCTGGTCAACATGGTGAAACCCCGTCTCTACTAAAAATACAAAAAATTAGCTGGGCACGGTGGCGAGTGCCTGTAATCCCAGCTACTCAGGAGGCTGAGGCAGGAGAATTGCCTGAACCCAGGAGGCGGAGGTTGCGGTAAGCCGAGAACGCGCCATTGCACTCCAGCCTGGGTAACAAGAGCAAAACTCCATCTCAAAAAAAAAAAAAGAATATTCAAAAAAATGTTTTGTGCAAATTTGACTATAATCCTCACAAATACACAAGAACTTAAAAAGACCCCAAAATACAGCATTTATGAGTTTTTGAGATACTGAACTTCCTGAATATACCTTCATTCTCTGTATTAATCAGTTTTTTGCATGAGATTAGTCTCATTATTCAAGTTTAAGTGCCATTTTCAGAATCTTAGGACCAATTTGCTCTTCAGTTGGAAAACTCTGGACTTTAGAAGAGTAATGTGGTATTTATCTCATGTAATACTTGTTGAGTCTAGGGTAGTTCTCATAACGGTAATCAGACATTAATGTTTTTGTAGTGAAATACTCATAGGAGTCTATAAAAATAGCCTCACACCATTTCAGATCAGGCTGTGACACCAAATGAATTATGAAAAATTTGTTTTTGCAGATTTTTGGATTTTGGAGTTGCAGGTAAGGGGTTATAAATATGTATGGGTAAAATTATTTCAAGAATAATTATAGGGAAAAATACTGTGTAACCAAACTAATTCCAAAGTGCTGGTCTCTAGAAGAAGACACTGTTGAAGACACTTAATTTCTGTCAAGTAACAATCTTTCTATGCCCAGCGGTCATGTTTTTCAACTACCAAAATTTACCTTTTAATGACCTTTCCTCTTCTAATGTATCCTTCCTTACTTCTGAATGATCCTAGCCAAGAAACTCAAATTATTAAACACCATAACCAAGGTAGTGTTCCAGGTTCGAAATCTAGATAAGCCATTCATTAATTCTGATTTATATAAGACAATGTTTTACTTTTCTCTGATACTAACATGTTCTTAGAATAGTGCGTGCTCCACAGTGGGCAATCAATAAAAACTCTTGAATGAATAAGGCACTACACTAAGCTGTAGCAAATGGAAAGTACTGTGAACTCATTTGTAGTCTACTGCAGTCTTCAGATATGAACCAGTAGTAAACAAGTTTTTAAAAAAGTTTGAGGCTGCAGTGAGCTATGATGGTACCACTGCACTCACTGCAGCCTGAGCAACAGAGATCTGTCTCTAAAAACAGTAATTGTAAAATAACTAAAACAACTTTCTGACTCCCTTTTCAGGAATTTGAAGCTCATCTTGTAACATCTGTTCTCTTGACTTACAGACAGCATTTATTTTAGTTTGCTTCCTGCTGTTTTCTATGTGATAAACTTTTTGAAACCTTGAAACCTGACTTTTTTTTTTTTTAGACAGAGTCTTGCTCTGTTGCCCAGGCTGGAGTCAATTGGTACGATCCTGGCTCACTGCAACCTCCACCTCCTGGGCTCAAGCTATTCTCTGCTTCAGCCTCCTAAGTAGTTGTAATTACAGGTTCCCCACCACCACACTCAGCTAATTTTTGTATTTTTAATAGAGACAGGGTTTCACCATCTTGGCCAGGCTGGTCTTGAACTCCTGACCTCATGATCCACCCGCCTCAGCCTCCCAAAGTGTTGGGATTACAGGCATGAGCCACCGCACCTGGCCTCATCTAATATTTCAAAACGTTTCTGATTAAAGCAAAAATCTTTATTTCTAATTCCAGATGGAAGATCTTTCTGATGAAGTCTTCTCCCTAAGGCACAAAAAATATGAAGAGAGAGAGCAAGCCAGATGGTCATTATGGGAGCAAAGCAAGTGGCATAGAAGAAACAGCAGGCAGGTTACAAATTTAAAACCCAAACCATAGAATCCATGTGAAATGAACAAAACTTCTGCATGAATTTTGGGGGAGACCACTAAAAAGGAAAACATGATGTAACAGCAGCTATTTATGTATAGAATGAGTTTATATTCAAAATATATTTAACTAATTATATAATGATAAAAATTAGTTTCTATATTTTACTATGTTTCTTTTTTTTTTTTTTAACTATGTTTCTTAATGTTGTCAGCCTCAGGAATAGATTTAACTAATAAATATGTGAAAATTCTGTGTGTATATAAAGTAGGTCATTTCGATCAACTTTTATAATGGACCCAACACTGGGGACTGGAGTTTAAGTAATCCATTTTAACATCACTACTTCCAAAATACGTTTTCCTTTAAAAATAAAAAAATTTCTCAAGTAACCTGTTCAGTCTAAAAAGTCTAAAATACTTTTAGAAACACAAATGGGCTTTGAGGGAGGGGGAAGTAAATCAGACATGATTATTATATATATGAGAAAATCCCTGGTATTTTATATTTATTATACATTTGATCATTTTTAATATAGCCAAAACTCAAAAAGCAAGATTGTGTGAAGTCTGATAGTCACTTTAGGTAAGGAACATCTTTCATTTAATTAGTCAGACAAACATAAAAGCAAACAAAATACACAAGAACAAAAAAACCTCACTTATAATTGGGTAAAATATTTCATAAAGTATTATTCCATCCTCTTGAGCATGAAAATCATAAATAGCATCAGAAAGATCATCAGAGGAATTTTTAAAAATCTTTTGGGCAAAACTGTTTAAAGTTACCAAGTTAACTTGACTCAGTGATACCTTGGGTTGTTCATACATTTTCAAAAAATACCAAATAATTGTGTTTTCCTCATTTTCTTGCTAGAGCTTACAGTAAAAATGTTGAAGGACAGGACTTGCTTTTGAAAGAATACCCTGATGTCTTTAGTAGTGGTCAGCAATGTGCTGCTGCAAGTCCTTCTGAGCTTCTTTCAGAGAACCATGATCTGTGTGCACATGGCTTACCTTCTTTAAATGAAAGTCAGGAAACCAAGGTAAGTGTAATATATATAATTACACTTCCCATTCCTTGCCTTTTAACTACTTGATTGTAGAAACTACTTTTTACAAATTAAGTTTCTAACATCATTACATAACAAATTCAGTAAGACAGGTATGGAAGATCTGTATTCCACCATTTTGTGTCCACTACTAACTACAATCACCTTGTGTAACAAGTCAATTCAAACTTCCACATACTCATTTATCTATTAGAGAATGGAGGTACTATCAAAGATTCATTACAAAACAAACCTGATTAGTGAAAAATAGAACCTGCTACATGGGCCAAAGTTAGCTATTTCTTTCTCCTCATATCTAAGATTTTTACATGCCTCACCAGACTTAGTTCCCACCTCAAAGGGATTGCTTTCTAACACTGCATCCATAAAATTCTTATACCTTTCTTCATAAATAGATATTGAAAAAGAACTAGATCTAGAATGGAAAGAGTAGAGATTATAGAATTAATAGGCAAGTTGCAGAAAGCTAAGGAAAGAAAAAGTTCATAGATACTTTTAAGAATGAAAATGAAGATATTGTACAAGTAATCAAACCTAAAAACTTTCAAAAGGGGCTTTCCCAAAGTGCTCTTAGATTGGAAATAAAGACCATTGCCTATGGCAGCGTTTCCTCTTCTTGGCAGAGACAAAGTAAAAAAATGATTCCCAAAAGTCACTAAACAATTCTCAATATATTCCATTTTGAGATGCTAGACATTTAAGTTGAAATGAAAATTTGTACATTTATGTGCAAAAAGAACAGAACAAGTTATTACAGTATGGACATTTACAGATTACTTGTTAGATGAATTTAAACAAATTAGTTGAAACTTAACTGAAAATGTTTCCCCTTTCAGTCTTTGTGGTGGGAACGACGTGCTTTTCCACTGAAGGGAGAAGACATGGCAGCCTTATTATGTCAAGATGAAAAAAAGGATCAGGTTGAAAGGTCAAGCACAACTTTCCATGGTGAAATCTTCTGTACCAGTGTACCAGAGAATGGCCACCATCCAAAACAGCAGTCAGATGGAATGGAAGAATACAAAACCTTTGATCTAGGACTTACCAATGTTAAAAAAAGTAGGTGACAGGGAACAGGTTAAAAAAACTATGTAAATGTAGGAAAGACAGGAGGAAATAAAGCCCTGTTCTGGATCCCGCATCCCCTCCAGAATGAGAGCATGTTTTGCATGTATTAATCTTTTATGCTACTTAAGAAACAGGCAAGATAAGTCTGTTTTCCTTCTGGAACCACAAGGGGAACCAGCTTTTCATCTACAGACAAGTGGTAGTCATTTGTGTTTATCATGCAACTTACAAAAATCAAAATATTAACTGCTTCAATTTGATGTCAAATCACATTATTAGGTAATTTTAAGACTATGTACCCACATCATACATACATACATACATACATATACACATACATACAAACTTGTGCACCAAGTGACAGCTATTCTTTGTTTATATACATGGTAATTCATTAAAATTGCCTTAGTAATATATTAGAATATATATGTGTTTAAAATAAATATACATACACCCCCCCCATGTAGTTTTAAAAACACTGGCAATGACCCACTCCACTTGGAAATGCATGTATGAACTACTCTATGAAATGTAAGCTGCAGTACATATAAAACACAGATTTCCACTGAGAAAAGACATCTGAACGTCTTGAATATAGAGATGGAGGGTTTTGTTTTTTTTTTTTAACATGTTTAACCAGTAGAAGTTATTTACAGAAATTCATATACCAGATAATACAAAACTCCTTTATTTAAAATCACTGATATATTTTGGACTAAACACAGGCTTTCTGTTTACTCCCAACAGAATAAAGCAAGCAAATCTGAGTTAAATATTGGTGCACTTTAAAACTATCGCATCTTTGAAAACTCAATTTGAGTTTTACCTATTTAATGTGTCTCATGAAGACACCAATTTAAAATAAGCCACAAACAGTAAAGTCCTATCAGTATAAAATTTGGAAAAAAAAAAAAGATGATTGTATTTCTAGATTAGCAAGAAATTAGTAATTCTGGCTGATTTCTATTTCTAGCTAATTTGGTCATTCTTTGCCATAACTTCTATTCTTACTTGCATCCTAGGTTGGGAATTACTCTATTCAAATAAAACATCTATTCTTACTTGCATCCTAGATTGGGAATTAAAATTTTTCAAAGAACAATGTTTCAATATTGGATACTTAAGAGTATACATTAAAGAAAATTCCTTTTGAAGTTATGAAACCATTTTATTCTATGTGAAAGTTGAGGACAATTTATATATAAATCACTTTTTGTCATGTAAAAAAAGTTATTCAAGTTTAGTACCCGCATAACTGAAAATATTGGCCATTTGGCCTAGTCTGTGAGATTTGACACTAAGTTTTTGTTAGAGATTGAAAATTATACTAGTCCTTTTAAGGGGTAAAAAATTCAAATTCAATACTAACAAACTTTTGCTTGTAGTTTTACTGTACATTTATTTTTAAAGAAAAAGAAAACAAAAGCCAGACAAACCCATGTTGTCCAGGTAAACAAACTCAAATCTTTATCACATCTGATATTATAATCTTCTATGTAAGTTTTTTAATTAAAGTTATTTCTATATGCCTTGTGTTGTTTGACCATTATTAAATGCGACCCATTCTGGCACAAAGCTTTCCCAAGCTGAAATAATAATAAACATGAACAAATTTTTACCTTATAATGCAGGAAAAAACCCAAGCAAGCTCTAGTCTATGCTTAAGTGTTAGCATTCTTACTTTTCCAACCTTATTTCTCAAAACTCGTAGTAGCCTCAAGAAGTTTATTGATACTGGTCCTGATATTTCTTGCCATATTTATAACAAGAATATTTACAGGAATGAAGTAGTTGACACATATCTTTAGACTCTGTTTAATTTCAAACACAGTTATAAATACTTAGTTTATGGATTGACTCTGCATCCTGTCATCTTTCAGCCTACCTGATCTTTCCTGGAATAAAACAATATATCCTTGAGGTCAAGATCCAGAGTTCCAGAATATTCTCAGCCATCTGGTTCTGCTATAGGGTAAAATTAGACTGGAAATAAGACAATGTTAAGTAAAAAGCTCCTTTTGCCCTACCCACCTCCCAAGGGCTCCATTTGTAAAAAGAGTACAGATCAGAAATGCTGCCGCTTTCCAGGGTACCATTCTACTGTTAATTTCTTCCGTTTTTAAATGGGGACAAAAATATCTGCTTTATTACCACTTGCAGAGGTGATTTACAGATTTGATGAGAATATATCAAAGTACTTTCTAACTCACAAAATATAAACTTATATAATGCTAGCCACTTTGTATTGAGCATATTCTAAATTCTGGGACTAGTACTGGAAACTTTACATATATAGTATTCTTAATTCTCGACACAACCCCACAGTTGTTATAATCACATTCACTGTATAAGTGAGTTCAGAGAAGCACAAAAAGATTGGGTGATTTGTTAAAGGTCTAGCTAGAAAGCAGCAGAGTCAGAATTCAACCCAATATTACTTCCAAACAGAGGCTTTACTTTTCCTTTCTACTCAGAGGTAACACAACAGCATTATTTAACGACCTTAAAAATGGTGGGGAGGAATCACTGAATAACCTGCTTTGACAAACACCCTGATAAAATCTACACTTGTATTTTAGAACCCCTGGGTTTCACACACAGTTTTCATAGTTTTTAAACATCAAGTGTAAGGTGAAAAGTGATAAATTTTGAGAACCAGGGATATGGTATGCCAGGCCACCAAAATTTGTTATTTTAAAATTCCATTCAACTTGTATTTCCAAGCATATAAACAAATCACAAATAACATGAAAACCATAAAGACTTCCTCTGCTTTTGGAAGATAGCTGAGAAACAACAAAATGCTTTTGAGAAATACAGAAAAAAAATTTTTTTGTATTGTAGCTAATATGCCCTCATTAGGCATTAAGACACTTTTCTGTTTGTAACCTTAATGCAGCCATAGTTTTACTCTTTATAAAAATCAAGTCTCTCAATAAAAACAGTATCTTACTAATCGTTAAATTGCATCACCAAAAATGTAGTTATACACACCAATTTCTAACGTTTCAAACTATTCTGCACAACCAATTTTAATCACTGGAATGAATAACTGCTCAAAAAAGCAGTACTGCTTCACTTGCATTATGATTTGGTAGTCAATATTCCTGTTTTCCAATAAAAGGGAGATTTCATGAACAGAAACACTGGGCTCCTTATGGTTTCATCGATCAAGAGAACGTTTCTGAGCAGCTTCTGAGCAAACATTTCTTAACAGGTTGATCACAGATCTGGGGTCTTCACTCCTCATAATAGCACTGCCAGACACAATCATGTTAGCTCCTGCCTGGAAGAAGTAAACAGTTAGGTTTCTCAAAGGAAAATATCAAAAAACCTAAAACAGAATTCCTGGACTAGAGTGTCTACCCTTGCATTTACCAACATTTCAATCATATGAAAGCCACTTTGAGATTAAGCAGAATTAAGCAATCTAGTTCAATAAGGAAATTTTAAATGTTCACAATGAGGATGTGAGATTATTTTTAAATGTATCTAACAAATCATTGACCTTTCTGGTAAACCCACTCATAATGGTATCATTGCTACTCTTAAGCCTTTACTCCTCAGTTCCACTAAGGTTTTCCCAATATGCACCAATGCCTCTACAATTACTTAAAAAAAAGAAAAATTTTAATCTTTGAATTATATTTATATAAATTTGTGAGTGTGAAAGGACAACTATTGACTAAAAAGTGAAATGATCCATAAACTATAGCAAAATTAAAGTGATTTCTCATTTTGGTGTCAAAAAATGGAATGTCTCTTTGTACTTCCAGAATGCTTTTGAAGTAGCTTTTAAAAAAGTTTTTAAGGTACTTTTAAATATGAAAGCAAAGAAATTAAAAAGAAAAGCTAATAACACTGGGTGCAAATTTAACTCTAAGCTTCCTAGGATTTGATTTTGAGGACAGAAACCCAATCTATTATGTGATTCACTGCTAGAACATAGAGGGAGAAGTGTAAGAACCACACAGGCTGAGGAAAATCTTTCTGCACAGACATTGTCACTTTATGTGTGACAACATTTCAATAATATTCCTCATAGAAATTATAAAGGTGAGTTTTATAGGAATAACACTCATGTATCTCTTTAGATACATAAATGGGTTAACCCATTTATGCCTAGTGTTCCATTAATAGAATGCTAACCTTTTGGGAGTTCTTTATATTCTACTGTTTAAGGTCTGATTTTTCACACAAAAAATTTTGCAACCTCCGGCATAAAAGCAGGAATAGTATACTGGCAAAGCACAGTTCAGTACAAAGCAATTCCACAAGCAGTCAAAAGAATATGCACTGACTGATCATCTGGCCAGCCCCTCCTACATATATTGACTACTATCAAGTTTTTGATAGGTATATATCAAGCAGAAAAGTGTGGCAGCTGTATTAGAACCTGGAAGTAGATACACCACATTGTTGAAGAAAAGCAGGTCATGTGAACTATAATCACCTGTGGTACTACCAAAAGGCTGGCATCCTCAAGAGCGCAACTATGCTAGACTAGCTATCTGAAAAAAGAGTTTAAAAAAGTTTATCTTGCTTCTATATAGATGGCCAAAGAATATACAGATAGAGCCAAAGGGGTATCTGGCCTAGATTTTCATAAAAAATAGTTCTAGCAAGTTCTTACAAGGAACAACTAAGTAATATCTAGGTTCTAAAGAATAACATATTAGGTCAATTAGATTTCCTTTTTTCCCCTTTGGTAAGGAGGTATCTTTTAATTCCATATTTTAGAAATATTTCTCACTTCCAAGGCCATGAAACTTAATGCTCTTCCAAAGGGCCGAAATTCAACATATTCTTTTTAAAAAAAAGAACTTTCTTCAGCCTTCCTGAGACAACCAGGATTTACTATTTAACAATCTATGTGATTTTAGAATATCCACTTATGGGCGGGACACAGTAGCTCACATCTGTAATCCCAGCACTTTGGGAGGCCAAGGCAGGCAGATCACTTGAGGCCAGAAGTTTGAGACTAGTCTGGCAAACATGGTGAAACCCCATCTCTACTAAAAATATAAAAAATTAGCTGGGCATGGTGGCTGGTGCCTATAATCGCAGCTACTCAGGAGGCTGAGGCAGAAGAATTGCTTGAATCCAGGAGGCAGAGGTTGTAGTAAGCAGAGATCACACCACTGCACTCAAACCTGGGCCACAAAGGCAGACTCTGTCTCAGAAAAAAAAAATCCACTTATAGCTCTTTATTTTCCTAGGAACCATAAAGGAAATCACTGTCCCATGAGACAATGTCCTAGAGACGTATTTGACAGGAAATTGGTCTAGTCATAGTTGAAGAGCAATCTCACCTCTGCACACTTATGGACAGTGTCAGGACCTACTCCACCATCGACCTCTATATCCAAAGATGGGAACTGGGTCCTCAACCAGTGAACCTAGATACATGTGAGGAAATAAGTAACTCCTGAAGTGGATGTGTGGGGTAGGGGGGACAACCAAATAAACAAACAAATCCAACAGCCAATATTAGCCATTAAAACTTCAACTGTCTCACACAATAAGTGTACCAATTACAACATTATTACTGGGGAACACTTGGTTTAATAGCAAGCTTTGTTCTGTTTGGCAAACAGCAATCTGTCATGTCTTTGCAGAGACTGTATGTCATGGAAACAAGACAACGATAAACCCTCAAGAGTCAATGACAACTTCCAAGAGATCCAAAGGTTACAGAAATAAGTTTCAAAAGAAAATTTCAAGATTGCCAGGCGTGGTGGCTGACGCCTTTAATCCCAACACTTTGGCAGACCAAGGCAGAAGGATAGCTTAAGTCCAGTGGTTCAAGACCAGGCTGGGTAACACAGTGAGACCTCCTGTTAGAATTCTTAACAATTAGCCAGGCATGATGATATTCACCTGCAGTCCTAGCTACACAGGGGGCTGAAGCAGGAGAATCTCTTGATCCCAGAAGGTCGAGGATGCAATTAACCCTAACTGCATTTCTAAATAAATGAAAAGAAGCCCGGGTGACAGAGAAAGACTTTGTCTCAAAAAAAGAGAAAATTTTAAGATAAAGATGTAATACGTTTCGAATTTCCCAATCAGAAATCTATTACAGCATTTATTACTTTTTATTAGAATGATCTGTAAGCATCCCCATCTCCTCACCTTCAGAATAGGTTATGTCTTAATATATAAGCCTTTCAATAAATGTTTGCTGAATGAACACACAATAAAAGCCTCAACCCAAAATCAAATACTTCTTTTACCTTTGGCATCATATCTTCCATAAATTTCTGCCCTCCAAACCCCGGTTCCACTGTCATAACCAAGGCCATATCTATTTGATTAGCCCATGGTGCCAAATACTCAACTGAGGTGCCTGGTTTGATGGCAAGGCCAACCTGTAACAGAGACAAATACGCTATATCACATTAACAATTACTTCTGTATTATGTTATTGTGGCATAGCAGGCCCAGTAGAACTATCTATTCTTATTTTTAGAGAGTTAACAAGACTATTAAATGTAAATATTTCAAATAGGCAGTAGCTTTCAGAAAACATTAGTGGAATATATAAATGCTATTTGACAAAGAAGTTAAACACTGGCTTCATAGCTGAAGAACAACTGCTTAAGTCAGGTATTCTTTACCTGCAATGGGCCCTGACTAGGCCACTGCACTTTAGCTTGAGCAAAAGAGCAAGACTCTGTCTCAAAAAAGAAAATTTCCCATTTCCAGCAAATCTTTCCAACTCTGAGAGTGAACGTTACAAAACATTCTCATCACTGATTTCTTACCTTCATCCCATTCTCCCGAATGTCTTTAATCAAAGCCCCTGGGTTCTCAGTAGCCTCGAGATGAAAGGTGTACTGATTGGCTCCTGCGATAGCCATTGGCTTTACCCACTGTTCTGGCTTGGACACCATCATGTGCATGTCTAGAAAGAAAAGACACTTCAAAATATTACTGAAAAATACCCGGCTCATGTTATTGGAAGCCAACCTGCATGTAGTTTCTGCCACTTCGGATATGAACACTTTGGGAATCACACAAATCATTATTTAAATAGTTATATTTCAGTATTAGGTAGTTTCCTCTTATGTGAAGATAGGATTTATTTAAATTCATCTACAAAAAAAACTACTTTCCCACAGAAAGCATATAGTGCTGTATAAGAAAAGTTAACATCTAAAAATCAGGAAATCTAAGCCCAGGTCCAGGAAATGCCACTCTAAAAAACTTAAAGAATATATCATATTATCTGTGCAGACTAGTTTCCTCTTGGAAAAATTAAGTGTTTCTTTTCATTTATTCTTTCAATTTATTGAGCAGTTACTGCACCATTAATTATTTTAGGTCCTAGAGTTACAGCAAAAACATGAACCTCTCCTGTTATAGGGATTACGTTTTTAGTGGAAGAGTCAAACAACAAACAAAATAAGTAAATAGAGTATACACTAGGCTGGCAGTTAATATGGCTGGTGTGCCTGGGGAAGGAGATACACCAGTCAGAGGTCAGGGAAGCATGTGGTGAGGAGAAACCCTATTGCATTCTGCAGGCCACTGGGAAAAACCACCACAGTATAGTGACAAGATACGACTGAGGAAGCTACGATAGCAATAACCCAGTTGAAAAATGATGGCAGCAATTCAGAATGGATATGTTCTGAAATAAGAGTAAAGAGAGCTGAGGATGGATGAGATGTGGAGGATGAGAGGATCCTCCACGGATGGATGGATGAGAGGAAAATAAAGATGGTGCCAAGGATTTTGGCCTTATCAACTAGAAGAACAGAACTACCATTAATTGAGAGGCAGAAGACTGCAAGAAGAACAAATTTAGGGAGAAGGACATGTTAACTACAAGAAACCTGATATTCACCCTAATTCAAAAGATTCATATAAACACATAAGGTGAAAATGGACACGAACTTCTTAAAGATCTTGACTTAACACATAATACCATTTCATGAGGAGAGGGCAGTTTAAAACAGCTAAACCAAGAAATAACACTGTGAAGAGTCCTGTGTTTGAGACAGTAGAGAGGAGAAGTTTTGAGTTTTTTGTTTTGCTAGAGGAAGCACATTTCTGTCACAGCCAAGCTATATTTAAGAAAAAAAAATTCCAACATTCCAGAACAATAAAACCTTGGGAAAAAAGTCAAAAAAGAGAGTGTAAAGCTTGACTAATAAAAGTCAAGATTAATGTTTATATTTCTAATCCACCAAAAGTAATTATATGAGAACATATTTTAATTTTTTAAAAATAGAGATGATGTCTTGCTGTTTCCCAGGCTGGTCTTGAACTCTTCGCCAAGTGATCCTCCCACCTTGGCTTTCCAAAGTGCAGGGATTATAGGCATGATCCACCACACTGGTCTAAATTAAAACATATTTTAATAGGCAAAACTTTATTCTTAAAAATGCTTTACATCTGGTATTTCTTATTTCTTTGTATTATAAGCAAGGAAAATTCAAGCTGGTTTAAAATACCTACTTTATTCATTCCTTAAGTTACCAAACTCTTAGCTATGTCATCCTTACTCTATCTCTAGCAACCAGTAACCCTCAATGGAGAATTTCTAAGGTGTTCAGGATATTAATGGTTCAGCACATCTGTGTATAGTTAACATTAGATCAGCAATTCTCAAACATTCTCATTATCAGGCTCCCTTTCACACTCTTAAAAATTAACAACCCCAAGAAACTTCTGTTGATTTGGGTTATATTTATAGATATTTAATGTATGAGAAATTCAAACTAAGACATTTTAAAGCATGCAATTTTTGGCAGGTATGGTGGCCACATCTATAATCTCAGGAGGCTGAGGAGGGAGGATGGCTTGAGCCCAGTTTGAGATCATCCTGGGCAACACAGTAAGACTCCTTCCCAACAACAACAACAGAATAATTAGGCATGGTGGTGCGTCCTTGTAGTCCCAGCTACTGAGGGGAGGGGGTAGTTGGAAGGACTGCTTGAGCCCAGGAAGACTGAGGCTTCACTGAGCTACGACCACGACCACTGCACTCTAGCCTGGGCGACAGAGCAAGACTGTCTCCAAAAAAAAAAACTCTATTGCATATTAATTAAGAGTGGCATTATTTGTGTTACATTTTTGCAAGTCATCAGTGTCTGGCTTAACAGAAGAAACCTATGATCTCACATCTGTTCTGTATCCAATCTGTTGTAATACAGATGTCCCATGACTTACAATGGGGTTACATCCCAATAAATTCATCCTAAATTGAAAATACTGTCATGTCTAACTGCATTTAACACACTAACATACTGAATATCATAGCTTAGTCTAGCCTATCTTGTAAATTCTAAGTTACATAAAAAAAAAAAAGAAAAAAAAATACACTATTTATGGCTAGGCATGGTAGCTCAAGCCTGTAATCCTAGCACTTTGGGAGGCCAAGGCAGGTGAACTGCTTGAGCCCAGGAGTTTGAGACTAGCCTGGGCAACATGGTGAGTCCCAGTCTCTATTTAAAAATAAGAAAAAAAATACACTATTTATAAAAACTTGTAAAATTTCTTATGTTTAAGAGACCTGGCAGGTGAGACATTGATTGCTAACTTAGTATAAATCGCTTGTAGGCCACTATGTAATTTTTAAAATCTTAATTTACATTGTACTATGACATTGGAGTGAATATTTAGGCACCACCTGCAGAAATCTCCAATTCACACAAAAATAAATGGCTTCTAGACCATGTATCAACTGATTCATAAATTCATTTAACAATTACACTGAGCCCTGATCATGTCTATGCTTAGCTTTAGAAAAACCACTGTAAACATGGTAGATTCAATCCCTGCCCTCAGAAAGTTTACAGCCTAATAAAAGTAATCTCAGATCAAAGGAACCTCTAAAAGGAAAATCAACAGGTGATAAGATAATTGGATAAAGGTTCATTTGGGAGAGGGCAATCAGAAAGGCTTCTCTGAGGAAATAACCAATGACTTGAGGCCCAAAGATGAGGCAGCCAGCCAAGCTACTGCCTTTCCAGGCAGATTAGCCAAGGCCCAGAGGCAGGAAGATGTTTGGCTTGCTACTAGAGTCAGACAGCTAACGAAATCCCAGCACAGGGAAGTCAGGGAAAGGGTGCCAGATGAACTTGGAAGTTAAAAAATCAACCATCCAGTTTTCCTTTACTTGAGCAACACATCCAGCTTGATGGCGTAACACCCACTTACCAAAGAAAGGGTCCTGGCCTAGCTGCTTTCGAAGGCTTTCTACCACAGGGTGACCAAAGGTGATGTTGGGAACAAAATGCCTACAAGACAAACAAAATCTACTCTGAAAATGTTTTCAATTCAGTTTCTGTATCTCTCTCAACATGAATTCTGACAGGGGTTGAGGGGATTGTATGCAATGTTTTTCAATTTAGTACTTAATCATCAGTATTAAATAATACTAAAAATACTAGGTCATTTTGGTTTTACTAGGTAATGTCTTCTTAACATTTCAACAAATCATGTCACATATATTTTCACAGTGATTTAACTCTATAATTCATAATCCATGACAGGTAGAAATGGGGAGATGACAAATAAAAAGCCCTCAGGTTTTATGACTTGCCCAAGTCACACAGTAGTTAGTAAGTTCTGGACTCCTAATATCGGTCTCCTGAATCCTAGGCTGTCACAGGAGGCCTGTGGCTACTTCTAGTCACTTCCATCACAGGGTACTAAATGATTGTTTTTTTAAACTTTTTTAAAGATGACTAGTAAAGAAACATGATGCATTTATTAATAATGACCACCTTTCACTGAGGGTTTACTATATGTCAAGCATCGTACTTTCTTTCATCTTCGCAACAGCCTTATAAGGTAGATGCTATTATTATCCCCTTTGAAGAGAATAAGAGAAATAAAATCCTTAAGTAACTCAGTTAATAATTTGTGAAAGTAGATTCAAATTAAGTTTACCAGCCGGGTGCGGCAGCTCACGCCTATAATCCAAGCACTTTGGAAGGCTGAGGCGGGCAGATTATTAATAAAAACTTGAGGTCAGGAGTTGGAGACCAGCCTGACCAACGCAGTGAAACTCTATCTCCACTAAAATACAAAAATGAGCTGGGTGTATTTTTACCAGTGTGGTGGCGTGCACCTGTAATCCTAGCTACTCGGGAGACTGATGCAGAACTGTTTAAACCCGGGAGGCGGAGGTTGCAGTGAGCCAAGATTGTGCCACTGTACTTCCAGTCTGGGTGAGACAGCAAGACTGTCTCAAAAACAAATCAAGTCTACCAGACACAAAGTACTTATCCTTTACCCTAATCCAGTTACTCTTTTTGTTCTATCATTAGTTCACTTAAATATTTAACAAAACCTCCTACATGCAAGTAGCATACTAGGTGCTTCAGCAAACTGTTTTGTAAAGAAATATGCTACAGTTCCTGTTTATCCCAGGAGTTTACAATCTCACTGGCAAGAGATGATGGAGACTGACAGCTAATGACTTAACAGATGACAGAGATCGACAGCTACATGACAGCTAATGACTCAATGATTTGACAGAGTTGACATCCCCAGTTCCCTTTACATCCAAGTGGCTCTTAATTACTGGACTCTCACCACTGGACTGTGAGTGCAAATGACGTGTCATTGCAGAGTCCAGGTTATAGGATTCCTTTCCTATTGCCACTTTACCCTTCTGCCAATAAAGCCCTTACAGAAGGGCAGAGCCACAGGATGGAAGAACACTCACACCAAACTCTTACATGAATGAGAAACTAGAGTGCTAAGCTACTGAAATCTGGCCTTGGTTAAAGCAGCAGGTATTATCCTATATGAGGAAAAGCTATACAATAACAGGCAGGCAACATGTGATTATAGATAAAATATACATAAAATAAAAGCAAGTATTAGAGAACATTAAGAAAGAAGTTGTTCATGAGATTTACAAAATAGGATTTATAAAGAAAGATGGAAAAAGAAACAAAGGTAGAAAATGAAGCAAAAGCAGAAATAAGCAATTATATTCAAAGACATGGAGAGTGGTAATGACCAACTTTGGCTAGTGTAAAAAAGATGGGAGGTAGATAGTATCAAAAGATGACAAACGCCAAACTCAATGTCTGGACTTCTGTCCTGCTGTAAATATGAAGTAAGATCTTAAAGCAAGAAACATTAATAAGTAAGATAGAATGGGAAATAAATTACAAGAAGGTAGGTAATTGCAATTGCCACTTGATAGGCAGCAAGGCATACTATGAATGTCAAGGAATGGCAAAACTGATGGGATCTGTTAAATCATTAGGTGTGTGGGAGGGGAGTTAAAATACAAACTATGTTTAAGATCTTATACTTAGATGAGAGGTAGAATGAATGTTAATAGAATCCAAACTTATATGTGGGCCACACAAAGTCCTAAAGACTTTCTAGATATTAAATCATTAAAACCTCCTAACAACCTTGTGAGGTAGGTACTTTTATTACCTGTATTTCACAGATGAGGAACAGAGGCCCAAGGTCACACAACCAGTAAGTGCTAGAGACAGGAGTCAAATATAGGTACTATGGCTACAAAGTCCAGGCTCTTAACTACTATGCTCATCTGCCCCTATAATGACAACTAACAAACAAAGAAAAAACGGGAAAAAAAGTCCAGTGGGGAAGAGATTCAACAGACAGAGGTAAGGATTCAGGAGACATCTGACAGGGACAGGTAAGCTGGATGGGTACAAACACTTTCACTCAGTAACACCTTGGTCTTTGGTGGTTTAATTTCTATCATTAAAAAAAATTATTCTACCACTTGCCTAAGCCATGATCGTCAGGGCTGTGGATAAGATGCGTGTGTTTATTTAAAACTTGAAATAAAGGTCAGAGAAGCAGGCACTAAGGCCTATTGAATGTTTTACAACTCTGGAATTAAAGATTTCAATTTCACATACTGTTCTTTTAATTTGCTGTGTCTAGGAAATAGTTTTGTTGTCTTAATATTAGGTTTCACTTATTATGAAAATAAAAGTATAATAACCACCTCCCAAGTAAATATGAGAACCAAAAAAAATATACTTTTATTGAGAAAACCTAAATAAAATGTATAAAAATACTACCCCTAAAGTTATGTGACTTAATTTGTGCTTTTGAAAATCAATTCAATGCACTAGGTTCACAAAGTATATCAGAAGAACAAAAATGCACCAGCAGTCTCAAAAAAACGCAAAAGCTACGCTAAGCCATAACAAAAAAATGGCTACAATCCTAAGCATGAAGTCAGGGTATCCCAAATTTGCCAAATAGTAACCATGAGAGCAGTTCTAATGATTTTACAGTCTCTACCTCAAGCCTACTGACTCCAAAGAGGACTGGGAATCTGAATTTTTAACAAACGCTTGAGGGAGTTAACAGACCAGTTGGAAAACAATTATTTCACTTTAATGGAGAGAAACTTCATTAAAAAGTCTGCTTCATCATTATCTTATTCTGCCTCTTTCTCCTTTAAGTTATTTTCCGGAATTAGTTAAGTCTGAAAGAAATAAAATACAACAAAAAGGTATCCCTATCTCCCAATGACTTAGTGGAATTAAACTACAATTGTTTGTAATACAAGGATACAATTTTCTCTCTCATGTTCCATCATTAGTCCTAAGCTTTACTTATGTAATTCTAATGCAATCTACTGCAGACAGATCAACCCTTTTTACCCTATCCCCCAACAAGGCAAAGATGATAAGAGGAGAATTCGGGTCAGTATAAAAGATACAAGACTGTAACAAGAAAACAATCTTACTGTGAATCGGGAATCACAAACTCAAATGCTGCTGGGGGTTAGCAGATAACATTAAAGAGCAAAACAGCAGATAGGGAAAGGGGCCAAATGAAGAACACATGGCATGACTAAAGGTGGCGCTGCCCCATTCAGCTCCAGCGCATGTCACCTTGTAAGACTGAGGGCCCAGTGTTGCCAAGTCTTTGGATTGCTTTCTTTTTCCAAAAGTCAGAAATCCAGTATTAATATGAAATCTCCCCAGTTTAAAATCCTGGTGACTAATTTAGAAATTATTTGCTCCACCGAACGGTTAGGGTGAACACATTCTAGTCACTGTCTTGTCATCATCCATTTATGTGTTTTCTAGTTTTTTTCCCCCAGAAAATCCACTTGTTCTTTGTTTCACATATCCAATCATGCTAGTGCTCCATCTTCCACAGTATTCCCACAGGTTTCTGACTTTCTAAATGAAGAAATCCAGTTGTAATCAGGGGAGAAACTGAAGGTCTTGGTGGGGAGGAGGAGACTAGAAAACAACAAGCACATCCAAAGAGTAATGCGGGATGAGATTTTTAAAAGGGGTCAGGAGAAAAAAAAACACAAAGGCAGTCTTGGGAGGGAAGGTACATTGTGGTTGGTCACCTTTCAAAGGAAGGAAAGAACACAGCCCATTGTCATAGCCCTAGCCTAGGAGACACTGCAGCATATCACATAAGGGCACTGGTATCAGCTCTGCCAGGTTTTGCCTAATCTGGTGAGATATCAGGGAAGAAGCTGGTTTCCTCCTTTGCAAAACGGGAATACAAACAGCTCTTAACTCAGAGTGTAGAGAAGATTAAAAGGGAAATAATCTTAAAACTGTGTATGCAGAATTCAGTTTTTCCAAACCAAGGTATCTCCTGGCAAAGGGGAAGAGGAATCAATAAAAAACAAATACTTTATCTTTTTATTTTTTTTGTTCCTCAAACTCTGATCCATGGTGAGTATTTTATTGAGCTCAGTCAGCCACAGAGCTGGGAGTGGACAAAAATGACTCCTTAGACTCCTCCTATTACGATTAGGCAGTTCATTCATTCAGCCAACAACAACTAAGCTCCTTATGGTGCTTTTCCAGCAAAGAATACATAGGTGAGCAAAAAGAAGATAAACTTGGCTTTCAAGAAGCTTATAGGGTAGCAGGAGAGACATGAAATAAGGTAACAAGAATAAGCATACAAATTATTAGTTGCTTTTTTGAGGCTAAAGAATGTCTTAATCATTCCCTGTATGCCTAGGACCCATAGAAAGCATTTAATTTGTGAGACAACACAAGCTGTTGCATTGCTTCCAACCCTGATTCCACCATTTCCTAGTTATGAGACCACTGGCAGATGACTTAACCTCTCTGCACCCAATTCTTCGCTGCCAAATGCTGGTGGTGATATCATCACCAATTTCAAACAGTTGTGTGAGTTAATTCACACACACACAAAAAGCCAGAATAGAAATAGCCAAGTGCTCTTAAACATTGCTATTATGGTTATCATTAATAGTCCTGACTGGTGAACTGAAACAACTACTTTCCCCAACCATTCACTTACTCAAACATGGTTTAATAAAAACCAAACTGCTTTCTGTTTCAAAAAGACTCACATATATACATGTAGCTTGTTCAATCCTGTGACCCCCTAGGTGTTTTCTCAGGCACAAAAATGTAGCTACTTATCTTTGAGGTATACACTCAGTGTCACACACCTCTGAGAGTTTAGGGCTTTCAAGCACAGGTGTCAAAAATAAGGTATATAAACAGAATTACATATAATGGCCAACTAAAAACCAACGTTTGTGAGAGGTAATATTTACTAAACTTTTTACACATTTAGCCTATTATTCTTAGTACTCTACGGTCAAAGTTTTGTCTTTATCAGTTGGGTGAACTAAGGTAACTGGGTAAAATGCAAAAGAGAAACAATACATTTAACCACATAGAGCAATGAAAGACAAAACTCTTCAAAGTCAGATGAACATTAAAAAGAAAAGGAAATCATCTTTTGAAAATAACACCAGTTTGCAAATTTGAATGAGGGAACAAAGTTTTTATCTATTTAAAATAAATTTAATTTTCCATCCCCACCCAAGATAATGCGTTTATGACTTTTATAGTCAGTTAAAAGTGGAGGCTCAGAGAAGGACTTGGCAAACCCAGGAAGAGCCAAGTTGTAAGTCTGTTACAATCTTCTGTAATACTGAGGGAGTCTTACTACTTTCTCTGGGTTTGTTTCCTCATTCTATAACCAACTTCAGAAACTAATATCCTGATTCCAAACAATATTAGGTGCTATAACTACAGTGCTTAAATATTACTTACAAAAAACTGGCCTCCCTGAAGAGCAGGGTGCCTGAAGAGAAAATAGACAGGAAAATCAGAATTTTAATAATGATGCAACTAACAATTATAGAGAACTTAATAGACGCCAGGCACTGTAAACTTTACATGTAATTGCTCATTTCATCTTCCAAAGATGCCTAAGCGGTAGGTTCTATTAGTAGTTCCATTATTCAAAATATGAAACTGAAGCTCAATTAGGTTAGTGGCTTGTCCAAGGTAACCCAGGAAGTGGCAGAACTCGGGAACCTCAGGGCAGGTGCCAAGTTTAATCGTTCCAGGAGTCTGTCTCCCAGCTTTGCCACTAACTAGCTATATGAGCTTGGGCAAGTCATGCTTCTCCCCTTGGTCCTCAGTTTCTCTAGCTGAAAGTGAAGAAACGTCCTAAGATTTAAGGTCGCTTCCGGATCCTAAGTGATGGAAGACCACACGTTACGTGGGGGGAGGGGAGGAGCTGAGATTTGGGACCCGGCCGCAACCCAGGATGTCGCATCGGGTCCGCTCCTGCCAGGACCGCCAGGGCTCTTACCCCATTCCCCTTCTAGCAACGCATTCAGAGTGAGGCGCTGGGTGGAACTGGGACGCGGTACATCAACAGGCACTCAATAAAGGTGCGCTGATCCCGCCCCCCCGCGCGGCAAGCCCGACAGCAGCCCGGAGGAGTTACCCGTCCATTACATCCAGGTGCAGATAATCGGCCCCAGAGTCTAGCATCCGGAGGCACTCGGCCCCTAAATTGGCCAGGTCGCTGTTGAGGATGGACGGGCCAATCTTGCAGCCAGACGCCATACCGCAGGTTCCCAAAAGCAAGTTACCCAACGAGTCCCACGGCACGACTAGCCGTCGCTCCGATTGGGCGCGCAGTTTTGGCCCCGCCCCTTCTCCGTGCAGGCTTCCGGACTCTACCGGAAGTAGCGACTCTGCGGTGAAGAAGTCCCGCCTCCTGCTGTGGTGAGGCGCTGTCAGCCGCTGTCCTGGAGCGGGGTGTGTCACGGGGGCCTCGTCCTCCTGCTGACCTTCCTTCTTAGGCTGTTTGAATCTTTAAGTCCTTGCAGTACTCAAGGCGTTTCTTAAGCTTTTTTCGCCTTACTTCCCCTGCAGTCCCCTCTCCTCGACTCTTGACTTCACATCACTTTTTGTTTCTCCACTGTTTGCAAATGAGTTGCTTTCCTCTCCAGCGCTTATGCTGGCCCTTTAAAACAACAATAAAAACCTTGCTCTCTCATATTTCTTTTAGAGCTCTTCGTTTGAGCTGGAGGAATCCTGGCTCTGCCAGATAGTAGCTGGGTGACCTGGCAAGTCACGTCCTACTTCGGTTTTCTCATCTGCAAAGACAGTGCCCAGCTTTAGGTTTGTGAAGATGGAGTGAAGCCAGGTAATGCACCCACCAGGATGCGTAGTGCTCAGTACAAAATGGTAGTTATTATTACCCTCTTTTTCTGCCTCTGCACTTACTCTTTCGTTTCTTTTTTGTTTTTCCCTCTATTGGAGTTCAGAAAATGATACCCCAAAGTGAAGGCCTCAGAGGCAATAAATAGTGTTTCTCTGACGCCCTGCCCTGCCCTTAGTCTCATTCTCCCAGAAGGCAGGTCATAGAAACTAGAGCCCCTCTTCCCTAACAAAAGCTGTTGAAACCATAAACCCTTCTCCCTGAAACCAGCCATAAAACTCAAAAGTGTTACTCTAATTTTCCTCCACCTTTCTGTGTAAAAACTGGCCATAAAGAAATTATTTGATCTGCCCCGATTTTAGGTTATACAACTCCTCTTCTAGAAAAGTTTCTATCCCATATCCAGGAGGAAGGTATGCTGCACAGAGAGGCCAGGAATCTAAACTAGAATGGCCAAGGCCAGGTCAGTCTATTAGCATTAGATCGCCTATCTTGTCCAATCATATTAATACATGGCTGTCTATCCTTTGTTGAACCTAAGTATAAAAATGGGTAATCTCCCCTGTACCTTTGGGTCTTCATTCTGAAGGCTCCCGTGTCAGGTAAAACTATGATCAAGTAAGTTTTTAGCCTTTTCTCTTGTTAATCCTCTTTTTGTTAGTGATTTTCAGCAAAACTTTTGGGAGGGTGAAGGGAAAATTTTCCCTTGGCCCCTACACCTCTCCAGTGCTCATTCACAAATTGTGTAGGTTCTGAACTGTTCACACACAGTTCAGAAATGGATAAGAGTATCCTCATGCTAAATGTGCCTACGGTCAGGAAAAGAGAGAAGTAAAACCACATGAGGGGAAAAAAATGGAGTTAGCAAGAGCAATCCTTAGGGAGTAAGGATAGAGCACTTTGTATAAAAAACAGAACTTGGACCACATGGTGTTTCTGGCCACATTGTGAGGACGACCAGATCTTTAACAATCCCACTGGGAATTCTACCAGTTATTCCAGTAAGTTAAAGCCTGGGCAAATAAGTTTATTTTTATTTTGAAAGTTAGATTTGGGCCAGGTGCAGTGGCTCACGCCTGTAATCCCAGTAGTTTGGGGGGCCAACATGAGTAGATCATCTGAGGTCAGGAGTTCAAGACCAGCCTAACCAACCAATTGGCCCTGTCTCTACTAAAAATATAAAAACAAAATTAGCCAGGCATGGTGGCTCATCCCTGTAATCCCAACTACTCTGAGGCAGGAGAACTGCTTGAACCTGGGGTGGTGGAAGTTGCGGTGAGCCAAGATCATGGCATTGTACTCCAGCCTGGGCAACAAGAGTGAAACTCCATCTCAAAAAAAAAGGAAAGAAAGGTAGATTTGGAAAGCATGAGTAGAGTAGAGCTAGTTTGTGGGGAAGGGTGATAGGGAGTGTTTTGGAAGTGTCTAATTGGATGGTGACCTCAGGCCAGACTGGGGAGGTTGAGGATGGCCAGCAAGGCATTAACAAAGGCATACCCCTGGATCCAAAATGAACATCTTCCAGAATGAGTCAACCTCTTCCCCACATTAAGAAATGAAACATACACATCCTAAATACTTTTAGCCTTATTTTATTATATGTGCATACCTAAACACAGAAGTCTTAATATCTTTCATAAATATCTTTCATAAACATTTCAGTATTTATTCGTATGAATTTTTTTCATATTCTTTGGTCATTCAGTATTCATAATAGACTTTATAGTTATCTGAGGGAAGTCGGCTGTGTAATCAATCTTTTACTTTTACCTGTAAAATGGCTAATAAAGGATTTTCATCCTGTGGTCACAGTGACAATTCAAAGATTTATGGAGGTAAATTGATGTGTAATCCTAAATGATCCTAAAATAATATAGGTAAATTTGTCTTAAGCTTTTCCAAATACATTCTGCCCTCAACTTGTTTTTATTCTCCTGAGTGTCAAATCAAAATTTGTTTCTGAAATGCTGCAGTTGAGACCCACTAAAGTAACTGAAGTGGGACTTTTTACTCACTGCCAAGACAAGGCCATGGAATTGGAAGTGTAAGGTCACAGGGCAACAGCATGACTTGGTGTGATAGCAGCAAATTCTGGAGACTGTGTTCTATTAAAGTATCCTTTATAACTGGAGGAAGGATATTTAATTCATGTTTTGGATTGTAATTCTATTCATTTATGACCCTTTTTTCCCTAAAGGTCCTTACACACACCCTATTCTTAAGATACTCTCAGAGCTGGGCAGCAGAGTGGAGAAAGTTCTTTGTTGACTAAAGGAATATAATGCTAAAAAAGAAAGGAGCTATCACCTTGTATAACGTACTCTTGGAGGCTTGAAACAGCAAACCAGTTACTCCCAGCCTGTGCAACAGGCCCTAACCAGGTCACCAATACCATAGAGTTTTCTACCAGCACTGCCATGCCCATTTATGCCTTTTGATTTTGGCACTGTAGTTCTCAGTGCCTTGTCTCAATGCAATCAATCAATAACTCAGTTCCTTTTCAGAAAAATGAAATAGCTTATCTAATAGAATTATAGGAAGCAGCAAATACTGAAAAATGAAAGTAAAATGTTTTGCTATAGGAGATCCTACATCCAGGATTTAAACGGTTTTAATTGGATCTGAGTCATACTATCACAGATAACACATGGTTTATTCCAAGGTCTCTCAAAAGTTAATTTCAGAAGAAGCAACCTCTTTGTTGAGTCTTAATTTTTTCTACGTGGGAAGTGGGTACCTTTTTTTATTTTTCCTCTGAATAAGATAAATATCATTAAGCATCATGGCTTAAGAAATGATCTACTATTACCAACACTGTATTTATTATATGTAGTAATTAGCTTTTAGTCAAGTACTTAATAGTATTTTAAACATTTATCTTGAACTTTTTTCTACTCTTCCCCAACTCTTTTTTTAATAGTTATTCCTTTCAAACTCCAGGTAACAGTATTCCTGAGAATACATCTTGTGACAGTTTTATGCACACACATATAGATACTTTAGCCATTACACATAAACATTCAACACATTACATTCAACACATTTAAGGGCACCTTAAATGGAACAGATGCATACATCTGCAAAATTTCAGTAGTTCCAGTATGAAAACATTCCTATTCTATAAGGCCCTGTTTCTCAGAGTGGAGGCTTTTTTTGCAAGCTACAACATTGCTTAGCTTATTGAAAGTTTCTAATAGACTTCCATACACAAGAGTGAAGGAGTCAGGCTAAAAGGCAGACAGACCAGCATAATCATGTTCAAACAGCCCAATACTTTTTAAATATATATAAAGGTATTTAGTATTCTTGTTAGATATTTAACAATCTTCTTTGACGTCTTTGCTATTTAAATATTTCATACAATTATACATAGATAATTTGAATCAAGAAACTGGAACAAAGCACACACATATATAGAGACTCACATAGCCCAGACACTTGTAATTACCAAACATAAGGCCTCTAAAGCTAATTGAGCAGCATAATTTTTAACAGGTGAAATATATCAGCTTGGAATCATAAAACCACTAAACATTTATATTCCTGCACTTGAGAATTATTTCAGCTTTAACTGTAAATAACATGAAAATATTGTAAAACACAAAGGAGGTCATTTACTGCCTCAATTTTCTGAATTGTTAGATTTGAAATTTTTAGTTTTGTTCTTTTTAACTCATGGATATTGTTTATTCTTTTAGTGTTAGGACCATAACCCCAAATTATATTTGAAATTATAAACCACAATATAAATAATGCCTATTTAATAAGCAATTCTAACAAAAAATAAATTTCCTTTATGATTAAGGTGGGTTTAGTAGGTATCCTCTTTATGTACATATACATTTCACAGTCAACACACTCAAAAGTTTAAGCATACAGAATGTGTTTTAAATTCATTGCAGGTAATCAGTCTATATTTAACTTCGTCTTGAGGACTAAAACACGCACACGCGCAAGCACACCTATACCACCATACCAATTTAAGTATGTATATGAGTTTGTATATGCCTAGTTGTTAAATAACAGTTTTCTAATGTAAACTGTTAAAATTGTGAAATTCAGTTGTGAACCATATGATGCACAGCCCTGTCACAAGATCAGTAATACACTAAGTGTTGACCTCACAAGCCGTCTAAGTTTTACACTTTTCTTGAAGTAACTGAACTTCAAGTTAAAGGCCTATTTGTAAAATAAATAAACTGGAGGTGTCTATGAAGAAATTGTTTACTTTATACATTTTTCCTTATAAACTTAGATGTTTCATAAGAATATTAAGTATCATGAGAATATTGTCTCTATTGAGAAAATGTTACTTTATTAAACTGATTCTAACAACACTAACCTTAATATCTGAAAATATGCCCTCAAGGGCAGGCACAGGATACTGTAAGGAAAAGTATTAATAATCACATTTCTCAATAGTTTCTAATCTTGGCATTGATGTAGTCAGGGCTAGGAATAGGAATACCATCTCTTTTAAGTTATTATATTTACATTTAGGTTTTATAATTGTATAGGCTGTTTAGGTTCTTAATTCAGAGTTATTTCTGATGATTTCTAGAATATTCTCTAACATGATAGATTATGAAATGGGATGATTATGCCATCTGCATTTTGATCTACAACATGCAATGAAAATGACAGTTGAAAAATAAATATCTAGAAGTCTACAGCTCTATATATAGTATTTTTTTCTTCTTCTAAATGGCTGTATTGTTAATCAAAACAAAAATGGCTGCAGGCTTGTTATTTAGTATCCCCAAAGTAAATATTTTTCTTATTAATTATTTTTTATGTAAATTGCTACTTGTATAGCCAACCTGAATTAATATATTTAAAATATAAAAATAAATATTTGCATGAGATGTATAATGTGAGTAATCTCAAAAAATTGCATTCTATTTTTCGGCCATATTATTTGTTAATATTTATATGAAAGCAGCACTGAATAGTATATATTTTTTAACTGCTGAAGGCTTCTTGAA